CATACAACTCTTATCTCTCAATTTGTTGTATTGGGGGGGATGATGATTTGCATATTGCCAATTACTTACTTTGTAGCTTACGTTGCTTGCTTATCATTTGCTCTTATTACTGCAGTACTGGTAAGTTTGTTGTACTAGGGTCACTTGTGGGTTGCTGTGATGCTGGAAGCTATGCCAGCAGTGTGCCAAATGCCAGAAGGGTCACCCATGGGGGACAGGTTTCTGTAGAGCTCCCAGACAGACTAGGAAGCAGGATTGGCCACCCACTTATGAAATAACAGGTCTCTGAAACCTACGAACATATTTTGGGCATGCTGTTAGGAGAAGCTATTCTTTGGAAAGGGACATCATGCTTGGAAAGGTTGAGGGTGGATGGGAGGAATACCCTTAATGAGAAGTATTAACACAGTGACTGCAGCAGTGTGCTCAAGTATATCAGAAATGAGGAGGACGGCACAGGACAGACAGGGGTCAGATCTGTTGTTCACAGGGTCACTATGAGTCATACTTGACAGCGCCTAACAACTGATACTCAATTAGAATCTACGTTTTAACAAGAATCACCTGGGGACCTGATTAAATTGTAGATCCTAATTCTGCGGTTGGTGTTGAGTACCATCAAGTCAGAGCTAACACATACCTGACCCTTCAGTGGCTTTCAGAGGCAGTTAATTGAATGGGAGGAGATTGGCCATCCTGCCCCCCATGAAGCAGCTTGTAGACTTGCACTGCATGCCTTTGGGTTGACAGCGCAGCTCCTTACCATGAAGCCACCAGAGCTCCAGGAGATGAAAACGCAAATTCTCAGGAGGCTGTTGAAGAGGCATGAACCAGATCAAAGTTCTGCAGTGACTCAAGACTGTAATGCAGTTAGCTGTGCTTGTGTCACTGAACAAGCAACACCCACCCCAGGTGGAGACCACTACTGTCTGCAGGAAAACAGAATAACGCAACTCAGGGTGTCTTTGACGGAGGCATTGCTTCCTCACAGCGGTGCCAACAGGGTCAAGGAACCCATTCCCCAGAGAGTAGCAACACTGGAAAGCTGGTGACACTTCTAGGGTACCATTGGAGGGGTGGGGTGTACGAGTTACCCAAGGTCAAGATCTAAAGGCTTGGCGGAATGGAGTCAGAGACCAGCCCTGAAAGCAGAGCAGCAGGCACTTTATAGCCTGGTCTCTCGTCCGTCCTCCCATTGGCTGGTGGACTCTAATTGGCTGAAGCCAGAGTCTGAGGTGATGCCCACTCAGAGGACAGCCTCCTGGGACACTGAGGTGGAGACTGACGGGGACGGAAGGGACGCCACCAGCCCAGCTGCCACTTGGCTCCAGCTGATAGCTGATGCAGAACATCATCCCTAGAATGCCGTAATGTTCCTCCTCTAACCACACGGCAAACACGTTCTGCTCAGGTGATGGCAGGAATGTGGGGAAATGAGAACTGCTGCTCCCTGCTGACGAGCACGTGAACCGGGACAGCTCACCTGGAGGGTCCACTGAGGTGTGCAGGCCTGCAATTTGCTCATTTCAGCTCTCCGTTTCTATCTACAGCCCGGTTTGTAAGAATATATCATGGCAAACGACTTGACTGCCCGCCCACCAGCTAGATAAATAAGGAAAACACTGGAATGTCAGTACTGGGGAGAATTTTGGAGAAAACCTAGTGAGGTCTTGTCTTTTAGTGGCTGAGACCAGAAAGGGAAGGCGATAGATTTGCGGTCATACAGGGCAGAAACCAGAACGTGTCTGCATTCTCCATCTATGTTGGTAGCCTCATGCTTTGGCTCTTGAGAGTGCCTTACATACCCACTTTCTCCAAACCCTTCACCTCTCCACCCTCCATACCAAGGCCCCATGAAGGCCCAGAGGCTGAGTTCCCTCCTGTGTGGCCCTTTCCCTTCTAATCACCCCAATTCTTCTCTTGGCTAATAAGACTGAAGGGAAAGGAACCCAAAGAAAACCCATGGGACGTTCACATCAAGAGCCAGCCCAGCCCGGGGTGATGATGCCAGGAGATCCAGCACCTCCTTTACCCTCTTCGGCTTGAGGCACTTCTAAGGCCTAGTCCTCTGATCTCCAGCTTATGAGTCTTGCTCACTGGTAAAGCCCAACCAGAGACCTGATCCTGTCCAGTGTTCCAGGGCACATCCCCTGCCCAGCGGTATTCAGTGACAGCTACTACAGGGACTGGCCCTGCCAGTGCTCCCCACTTCCTTCTACCCTTCCACTAGGGGTGCTCTGAGGCTCTAGCAGGCCAGTTGGATAAACCTGTTTGGGTTTGGCAGTGCACGTGGTGTGAAAAATCGGGGCCAGAGCCTAGCTGTTTTAACAAGCTGTCTGACTTTAGACAAGTCACAGTTTTATGAGCCACATCTATAAAATGTCACATCGTGTAAAAAATCATTACAAGGAGCCAATGAACAAGTTTATAGGAAGGCACTTTGTAAACCATCAAGGGCCACAGAGAAATGAGCAATGACTGTGACAATGTGATCTCTCCCGGGGTTTCCATTAAGGCCTCCTGGGGATAGTAAAGGCACATCACCATGTTGTTCCAAGAGCTGACCGCTTAGATCCGTTTTAACAAGAGCCCATGAAACTGTGATGCAGACCAAGCTGTGAACAGCTTTTCTGAGAAGTGGCCACAGGCATGGAATTTGGGCACTGTGATGGGCTGGAGTTGGGAAGGGTTGTTTGAGATGGCCAACTTTTACTCAGACCTAAAGACAGGGCTCCTAGTTAGGCATGACTCTTGCCTGAGCTAAGATCAGCCCCAAGTCTCAGGGAACCTTCATTTTTATCACCATCCCCAAGAGCAAGTAGGGACCCAACGTGCTCCTGTTTCTGGCATTTGTGTCTGAAGCCCTCACTGCAGGAGGCAGAAGTCTGAGGTGTGAACTTGTTCAGGAACATACTCCAGGCTCAGAAATATCACTTCTACAAAGCATCGTTTGGTTATCTGGAAGTTTATAAAAAAGGTGCATGGGTTTGGGGACCTCACCACCAGCAAGAGGCATAAACATAGGGTGGGAATTGTCTTCTCCAAGAAATTCCCTCCCAAGAACAGCAGTTGGGGCTTGTCAGGGTTGGAAGGGAGACACAGGTCTGGGAAGTTCCCTCCTGTGGCCCTGGGCAGTGCTGAGGTTGGTGCTTAGAAAAACACGTTCAGAAACGCTTGCCCACCTGACATCCATGACTCCCCAACTTGACCATGGGTGCAAACCCAGCTCCCACAATCCTCTGATCCACACGGGGTTCATGTGCAATGGCAGCTTATTCTTGGGTACTAGGGAGCAGAATAGGGCCCATCCTGTAAGCCCTTCCCTCTCCAGGACATGCTGATTTTCTAAGGAGCTGGGTTCTTGACAGACCTAGGTGACTCTCCCATGACTGAAACATGCCTGTCTCCATCCTGCAACCTCCACCTCCCCACACTCTTAACTCTGTCCCACCTCTTCCAGGAAGCCTTCCCCAACAGGGCAGCTCACAGCCCTCCTTCTCATACCTCCTCCTGTACCTCTCGGGTTCCAGATCCCAGAGATAGCATTGACGTGAAGTCTTCAAGGTGTCTGATCTTGTTGCCTCTGGTTTACAGTTTACAGATGAGGAAATACCTGTTCTTTTCACTCACAGTAATGACATCAATGATAACACTGAGCTGGGAGCTCTTGCCAGGCAAGAGGCATGTCTGAAGTCACTAACTTGCAGCAAAGGTTTTTCTAGTGAGGAACGATGAGGCTCATTGCCCCAAGATACAGGTGGAAAGGTCAGGATTTAAACCCTGGAAGTCTGGTTTGAGTGTTTTCTTTTTGGCTTTTCTCAGGTCTCCATTTCTGCCCACACCCTGGCTGGCTCGCTCGCTGTGATTTGATCTAGGTCTCCTCATTTTAGTGCAACTTTTGTTATATACTTAACTCATTGCTGCCCAGTCGGAACTGACCCATCGCTGACCCACCAGAGTTTCTGGGGCAGCGGAGACACACAGGGGTAGCCTGCCCATCTTCCTCCCCACAGAGCCGCTGGTGGATTCAAACCCCGAGAGTGATGTCACCTTCGGGGCGGGTGCACTGTTCCTTAAGGTCTCGGCCACGGAATTCCCTAGCAACACCTCCCACCCCCTCAGCCTGCAGGGGCTGCGCATGCGCTTTAGAAGCAGCCCTGACAGACCAGTCCCATCACCAGGTGGCAGCATCGGCCAAAAAGTCTCCCTCTGGCCCAGCACTGTCAGTCAAGTAAAAACTTAAAACTTTTATTTCTCGTACAAATGATAAATACTTTGCATTAAAAATCTGGAATTCAAGTTTTCATCTTACTTCATGCTCCCTCACCATCCCCAAGCCCTACAAAAATACTTCTGTTTAGAGGAAGAAGGGGCTGATGCAGACCTGGTGGCCAATTACAGGCCTGGGGAGAAAGGCACACGTGGTCTGTGTGAGTGGTGGGCGGTCTCCACCCCTTCCCACCACAGCCTCAGAGGCCAGAAATGAGAAGAATGCTTTGAATCCGGTAAGGAGGCTGTGACATCTGCCCCCAAAGGCCTCCTCTCAGGGTTAAGATTCTCTCATTGTCCCCCTTGTTGTTGGGAGTAAGAAGGTGCAAAGTGGACTCCCTCTTCCAGAAGTGTAGAAGGGGAGGTGGGGATAACAGGAATAGACTCCTTTTAGGGTCTAAGCTGTTAACAAGTTAAATAACAGTATAGGCCATCACATTTTGGTTGTCTGAAAGTAAATACTCCAGGGGGGATGAAGAAGGGGAGGGGTGGTGTCTGGGGAGCCCCTTTCTCCTCCTCTACCTCCAAGAGAGGCACAGGGGTGGGAGGGGACAGCCTTCAAGAGTTAACCCCTGTTGTGCCACACCCCTTTTCACAGTCATGACTGAGGAGCAGAGGGCCCAGGTCGTGGCAGAGGACCTGGGGAGGGAATTAAGGCCCCAATTAGGGGACCATCGTTCCTTTTAGGTTCCTGGAGCTGCCAAGGGGCCTGCCCCAACCCCGTGGCTTGGCTAGGGGTCCTCATCCCAGAGACACAGCTGCCGCTGGGGCACGTAGAAGTCGAAGCTGTAGCTCTTCTGGCAGCTGCGGATGCCACATTTGTAGGGTGCGGGCCGGTCGCGGCTGTGGCAGTATTTGAGCATGCAGGGGTACCAGGCCAGGCTCAGGTTGTAGCGGCAGGTACAGGGCTGTCCGCGATCCCCTGCCTGTCCACAGCGGGGCAACACTGCCTGCTCTGGGGGCTTGGGCAGAGCCTCGAACACAGAGCTGTCCACACCTGGGGGAGAGTGGCAAAGTTAGGGGAAGGGCAGAGGAGCTCCCCCACCTGGTATCCACGCCTCTTCAGTCATCCAGCAGATTGGCTATCCTTGCCACGCCAGCTGGGTGGACACAGCTCAGACCTGGACACTATGCTCCAGGGCAGGCGAGTGAGGGAAACCGACTGAAAACCTCACTTACTAGGTTCCTAATGTATGCCAAGGACTCCGCAAGCAGCACCTCCTCCCGATGCCCCATGGATTTAGTATTCTAGACAGCCCAGAGAGCTTAAATAATTTGCCTAGGGTCACACAGTAAACAGTGAAGTCTGAACTGGAACCCAGCTCTGTCTGGTCCATTCTGCCAAGCCCTGCATTAAAAAAAAATCCACTACACTGGCATGTGCTATAATGGAAGTAATGAGGGAAGGATTCTTAAAGGCAGTGATATTTGAGTGAGGCCAGGCAGAAAGGGACAGCAGGGATGCAGCATGCTCAGAGGGGGCAGCCGGGGTAGATGGAGAGTATGTGACAAGGAGGAGGGTGATGGTGGCAGTGGCTGGCCACGGCTGGGCTCCAAGGCCATGGGAGGGCCTATCCTCTGCTGGGCAGTCTCAGACCTGTACCTTGGTCTGTGTGTAGCCCCCTGGCAGGCGTTTAGCTCTGGACATTTCTGGGCCAGGCAGGCATTTCTCCAGGACTGAGCTGGCTGGGCAGATGAACGAGGGGCCTGGAGTTGGAACGGTGACATCTTCCTGTCCCCTCTACAGGACACTGAAGACAGTCCTAGGAAAGGCCGGCATTAAAGCTGAATGAGCCAGTGTGCAGCCCCACACAGAGCAGGAGATGCAGAGACTCTCAGGAGAAATGTGCCAGCCCCAGGGAAGGTGTGTGGGATGGAGAGCAGACTTCTGAGAGGTGACAGCGGAAGTGAGTGGGTGGAGGAATGCTTCTGGACCTTGGTGCCTGTGCCCCCTCCCATCACAGGAGGCTCTACTGCTGTGTCCTCATGAAGGGAAGAGATGGGTTTGGAGCCCTCAAAAGTCACTGCTCTGGGTCTTCACCTGGAATGGGTGCCTTTCATCTGGAAGACGCATGTAAAAGCCACACAGATATCACCTCCTCCAGGAAGTCTTCCCTGACCAATTAAGAGGTGTTTCTCCCTACACTCTCATGTGCACTGCACAGCATACAATTCCATGGATCTACTTTGCAAGAAGCTTGGATTCCTGCATCAATGTCTCTCTGTAGGTACTCAACAAACGTTTCCTAAGTAAACAACAGAGACCTCAGCTGTGCTGTCCCCTCCCACCCAGTTCCTCCACATGGGATCCCTGGGCCAGCCTGGGAGGACCAGCTCTGGACAGCACCCAGGACCCAGTGTACCGTGCTCCAGCCAGAAGCGGACATCCTCCTGGCGGGTGTAGATGGCATCTGCAGCCTCAGCACACACGTTCCGGAGGTGGGGGCTCAGCAGGCCCCCTTGGCTGAAGTTGACAGCTATGTCCATGTGCAGTTGCTCTAGGCCCCGCACCTCTTCGGCCTGCCGCACGGCCCGGGGGTTTTTCTGTGAAGAAGAGAGGGGTCACTCTCACCTGACCTGGAAATGCTCCTGGCCCATTCTCCTCAATCACTGAGTGAGGAATCCCAGGCACAGGGGTATCAGCAGGGTGGCAGTCAAGGGTCATCTAGGCTTCTCCATACTGGCAGGGGAACTGGTACACAGGGTCTGGTGAGACTTTGTAGCTTCTACCAACATGTGCTGTCCTCCAGCTACTTGCTTACCCCAGGCTGACCTCTGGCTTGATGGAGAATTTGGGAGGTGACTGGAGGTGGTGGGGCGGGCTGAGCATGCTGTCCCAAGGCGCTGCCAAGTGACTGAGGCCCCAGGGAGGGATAGACAGTGGGGCAGGGTGCCTGCTGGTTCATCAAAGGCAGGGGTGACTTCAACTTCGTGCCTGTTTTTACGAGGCAGATACTGCTAGGCCACATCAGGACGATGATGTGAGACCCAGGGTGCTGGAAGGGCATGGGAGCCGGGTTCCCAACTTCGAGTAGACAGATGAGCATGAACAAGGGTTTTGAACTTTGAGCATCTGACATATGTCATGCCATTTAATTCTCAGACTAAACCATTTTCTTGGAGGTTTAAGTTGCAAAAGGTGGACAACTCGTCCAGTATCACTCATCATGAAGGGTAGATAGAACTAGATGTAACTTCAGGTTCCAAGCACTGAACCCCCATCATAAATGGAGAAGGACTGAAGAAACTGGAAATTGGGGCTTTAGTACTGGTTGAAGGTCTGGCCTGGGCCAAACCTGGAATTCATAACTCTAAGGTGAAAGTGGGTGCTAGACATGAGGACTAAGGTGGGCCAGGTAAGTGTATGACTGTGTGGGTGAGGGTGCAGGGGTGAGGCCTGGGGGCCAGGTGGGTGCACTCACCTGCCTCAGCTTGGCCATGGCCTCACTGGGGATAATCTCATTGTGGTGCAGCCGGGTGACAAAGCAGAGAGCCTGGAACTGGCTCTGTCCCTTCTCCAGCTCCCCCAGGATGAGGGCCCGGAAGATCTTCACATCCTGGTGGGGCAGGAGAGGAAAAATGGTAACCTGTTGCCAAAAGTACAGCTAGCTGCCCAGTATCCCCCAACACTCAGTGTAGGACACGTGCCTCAATTCTCCTCCTAATAATCCTGCCCTCCTGCTGATCCAGGAAGTTGTATCTTTTCCATTTAAACCTGTGACTTCAAAGAGGAAACATACCCCAAATGTTCTGAAGCCTCCTGGAAAATTCATGTAGGGAATTGCTAGAAAGAGTCTGTACACAATAGAACCACATAATACCACAGAGCTTCTCTTTGGGCAAAGTGTCTTCCCCCCGCCACCGGCTTTCGTTGTCTAGTGGGTAAGAAGCTGCACTGCAAACTCAGAGGCAGGTGGTTCTAATCTACCAGGAGCTCCCAGGAAAAAGATAAGCAATCTCCTGTGTGATCTGCAGCTTTAGAAAACCTGCTGGAGGGCCAGCTATGAGTCAGTTCTGATTCGAAGGCAATTCGGTTTTAGTCTTTTGTAGCTGATGCTTACCTCCTAAGGAGCCAACCTGTTCAGGGTCAGCACCCTATGGATGGATCCCCTCCTAGGAGGATCCTGCCCTCCGCAGTAGCACAGACACCAGAATTTCTCTCTAGATGTCCATAAAGGAGGTGTGGAGAGCAGCCTGGGGAGTGGTGTTTCTCAAATGTCCCCAGCAATTCTAATCAGCCAGGTTGCCCGCCAATCCCAAGTCAGGGAGGTGGGCAAGGTGGGGTTCAGGGCAGGAGCTGGCACGCTGGCTACAGTTGCCTCCTGGCGTGAGGAAGCTGAGGGCTCCCGTTTCCCTTCCCTCTTCCCTTCATTTCCCAGATGGATTACTAAGGTGTTTCCATCAGGCCCAGGGCTCCTTCCTGTTACTGACTCACTGCCTGAATGGGGAGTGAGACGGGAAGAAGGGAGGGCCGAGATAGCTGGGATGAGACTCCTTTTCCAATTCAGCTGCTGGACTCTTTCCAGTCCACCTGCCCTGCCCATTGCCCCAGGTGGCCCTCATGTTCTCATCCATAGCTGGCTACCTATCCCAGCTGCAAATGACCTAAATCTGTCCAGACTTCTGGATTCCTTGGAGACAACTGGACTCAACTACTGTTCTCCTTGGCAACTCCTACAGTCCAGCCAGACATTTAGATAACCCAGTGCTGTGTAGGGCCTGGACAGGTCCCTGGATGTGGCAAATGGTTCAGTGGCTAATCTAAAGTAGTTTGAACCCACTCATTGGTACCATGGAAGAAAAGGCTTGGTGATCTGCTTCCCTAAGAATGATAGCCAAGAGGACCCAAGGGAGTATTTCTACTCTGTAATGAATGGGGTCACGATGAGTCAGAAATAACTTCATAGCAACACGTGTAGGGCTCCATCTTTCAATACATGTGACCTGGCCTCCCCGACCAGCAGAGGCTCCAGTCACTGCAAGCTCAGTCTTGGCAGAATAGAAAGGCCCAGGGTCCTCCCCATCTCTACTGTACCAGCTGGTGTCCCAGTGCATTCATTGCCCAACCTGAGCCTCACTTGTCAAGGTGGGGATGACAATCCCAGCAGGGATGTGTGACGAGTCAAAAAGTTTGTGCAGAGGACACAGAAGGTGTCCTCTGTGTCCAGAGTAAGCATTCAGCCCATGCCAGCTGAGACTATTACTAACCGATAAATTCTCCTATCTTTCAGAGAGTTCTTTAACTCTCTGGTGATTCACCTGTAAGGAATTACACTGCTATCCTAAGCTAACCACTTTGCTGGTTCAAATCCACTATTGACTCCTCAGGAGACATATGGGCAGCCTACTCCCATTCCATTTACAGCCTCAGAAACCCAGTGGAGGGTCAGCTGTGAGTCAGTGCCCACTTGATGGCAATGAGTTTTGAGAGAGTTTTTAACTTCATATTAAAATGTTGGTGGTTCGAACCCACCACTCACTCTATGGGGAAAGGAGTCAGCTTCTGTTAAGATTGACAGTCTCAGAAATCCGATACAGGGTCACCATAAGTCAGGCTTGGCTGCATGGCAGCAGGTCTGGTTCTTTTATATTCTTTGTGTGTTCTTTGGCAGTTTGTATTATTACTTTTCTAATGTAACTCTGGCACATTGAGGTGGCCGTATGCATGGGTAGGTTTCCACCAATATTACAGGAGACTGGGGGTCCGTGAGGTCCCTGTGACCCCAGAGACTGGTGAGGAAGGTGAATGAGAACTCGGGTTAACTGTAGCTTCCTCTCAACAGGAAATCCACTCTTGGGTAACGATGCTGGAATTTCCCTGCTCGCCAGAAATGGCCATCTGATCTTTCACTCTCTCAGGTCAACTGAAGGGACACTAGGGGCTGGCACACTTGTGACATACTCCACTCTGGGCTCAATTCTTGCCAGGCGAGACTTGATACCACACTTCCCTTCCTAGCTTAAGGCAGGCAGGAGCCAGCATGCACCTCCGGTGCGTTTTTCAGCTCTGACCTTTGACCAAGAACCCAACGTGGCAGCTTATTTTTCTACAAGACAGGCTACATGCACTACTCTGTAGTCCAGGGGCTGCGGACTGCTCACACTGTTTGATATGAAGGTCTCTGAAATTTAGAACAGATGGGGGTGAAACACTGAGATTCCACTCCCACCCCCATCTCTATAATAACTGTATCAATGACAATAACAATAACAACTGTACTGATGACAATAACAAAATGCTACCAAAACAATCTGATTAGGGGTGCAGAGGGAATTAGAATGAATTAATAATCTGATTGGGGGTGAACAAAGAATTGAATTTCTCACTGAGAGAGATCTCCACCCCTTCTGCATGTGTGTACAAAAGATTTACAGAAGTTGATAACTGGAAAAGGCAAAACACTGTCACTGTGGGTCATACAGGATGTTGTTCTATTTAAAATTCTTACAATCCCAGGTGGTGGAGCTATTATTACCACTGACTTTTGGATTTGGGGAACTTGCTCAAGGTCGTGAGACCAAAAGGCAATGTAGCCAGGATTTTAACCCAGCAGCCTGACTGAAATGGCTGGTTCTCTTAACCACAATGTACTGTGCCAACCGGTGGTGTCACTAAGCCTGGTGTCACTTATGATGTAATTTACAGTGTCATCGACCCTCTCTGTGGGTCTCTTCCCACACCAGACCATACAGAATTTTTAGTAATGCTATCTATTTTAATTGTAGAATCATATGTGATATAGGCAACTCCTAACAGCAGCAATAGGTGATAGTTAAACATTCCTAAATGTGCTTTCCTAGACTATGTGAATGCTAAGAATCAAGTTGTTTTGTGAACTCTTTCTACACTGAACATTTTTCATTACCACGTAATTAGTAACCAAGCTGTGGTGTTAAACTAAAAGCTGGCATTTTTTTTTTTGGTAGCCATTTAGCCTCGAGTCTCCAGCTACTTTAACTATAGACACATGGTCTTGCAAATCAGCATCCACTATGGTACTAGAGTAAGTGAAGGTGCTTCCCACACTGAGCAGCAAGAGTTGGGGTGAGCAAGGCTTGCGGTGGAAAGACCCTCAGTGAGAGCAAGACCCTAGCTGTGGAGAGACTGTGGCATTGCTGTGGACAGATGGTGGCAAGGTGTGATCTGATGCTTCTTGCATTTGTACTGGCCACAGTTAGATTTTGCAAGCCACCAAGAAAAACTGGAAAGTACGGACCCAGAGTCACAATCTGGTATGTGGAGGGCATGGCAGTGTGCCACAAAATTGTATTTGCAGAAGTCTTCGCTTGACGGTTTTAAGTAAGGGGTAGGAGGAAGCTGGCTCTATCAGCTGTGGTTACATCAATCCTAACACATGGTCACTCCAGGAGTGTTACTAGAGAACTGTGCTCCAGAGGGTTTTCAATGGCTGATTTTCCAGAAGTCGATCACCAAGCCTTCCTGCTAAGGAACCTCTGGGTGAAGTTCAACCTTAAACGTTTTGGCTAGCAGTCAAGCATGTTACTGGTTTGCGCCATCCAGGGACTTCCTGGGCTAAGGAGTCTGAATGTAACCTTGTGATCACAGGAAGGTACTGAGTCTGGGTTATGCCATGAACAGATCAGAACTGGGATGAGTTTCAAACTGGGCTGTAGCCAGATCAGTGTGTGTTTTTTTTTTTTTAATCTAAATGCCCCTGTCATCAATCTGCAGCTTCTACCTGGGCCCACTGTGCATCCCCCCAGCGCAGGACCTGTTCCCAGGCTCAAAGACAGTGATGCTACCTTATTTACGCAATATGCCCCTTTTTCTGGTACAAAGCTGAGCTTAACAATGATGATGTGAGTAAATGAAGGACCAACAGAGGCCTCCATCAAACTTACTCCGAATAAGAAGAAAACAATTTCCTCTTGAGTTTCTCTACAGCAGGTAGTCTCAGAGAGGCTATTTTGGTTCCTTGAAGGTTTAGGGATCATCAGTTTTATGGCTCTGAGAGGTTTCAGCAGGAAAAGGACCTTCATAAGCCGATGCTGAGCTCAAACCCTTACCCAATTTCCTGGCTCTTTCAAGTTCCCATGTTAGTCTCTGCCTTGACTTCCCATCCTTCTTAGTGCCCTTTCCCTGCCAAGCCATGTTTTTGAAATCCCCTCTATTTCACAGAGAAGGAAGGCTGTTGTGGGGCTCTGGATGGACATGTGCAAAGACAGCAGAGAAAGGCTCAGAGGCAAGCACAGGGCCCAGCCCTCTCAGGAAAGCAGAAATCCCAGGTCAGGCCCTGTGTGCGACCCGCCCTGCTCATCCTGCCCTCATGTGCTCTCACAGGCTGGGACACAAAATGCCAACAGTTTTCAAGTTCCCAATCTGCCCTTTCTTAGTCACAGAAACCCCAATTTTAAACTGACACCTGGAACAAAGATACATCCCAGCCTAGGATAATATAGATTCCAGTCTAAGGAGCTCTGGTGGCTTAATGGTAATGAGTTGTGCTGCTATCCCAAAGGCACACAGTTCGAATTCACCAGCTACTCACAAGAGAAAGATAGGTAATCTCCTCCTGTGTGATTCACTACCTCTGAA